TCTCTCTCTGCCCCTCCCCCACTCATGCTCTGTCTCTCTCTATCTCAAAAATAAATTTTTAAAAAAGTTAAAAAAATCATCTCTTTGCTCATAAGGTGAACAAGCTTCTACTTTTCTTTCCTGACCTTTGATGCAATCATGGCAGGGGCAGGGAGGGGAAGCATGTGGGTTTTTTTTCCAAACATACAATTCATTTTTTTAGCTTTATTTATTTATTTTTGAGAGAGCGAGAGAGCAAGCACAAGCCAGGGAGGGCAGAGAGAAAGATGGAGACACAGAATCCAAAGCAGGTTCCAGGCTCTGAGCTGTCAGCACAGAGCCCGATGTGGGGTTTGAACCCATGAAATCAGAAATCATGACCTGACTGGAATTTGGACACTTAACTGAGCCACCCAGGCACCCCCAAACATGCAATTTTGATACATGTGCATACACATACACTTACATACAAATATATATACACTTACATACAAATATATATAAATTTATATATATTTTTATATATAATATATAAATATAATATATAAAATAAATTTATATATATTTGTATGTAACTATGTGAAATATATCTTATATTATATATGATATAATATATATAATATATAAGATATAATATATATAATATTAGCCATTGCCATTATATATATTATATAATATACTATATATAATATAATACATATATAATGGCGTGTACTATTTCCACACAGCTTCCAAATTACTCATCCTCAAAATGAAGATAATATCTACAATCATCAGGCCTTTATTTCAAACCCATTGGCATTCATGGTAGACGTATAATATCACCATGCCCAAAAGTCAATCTCTGTGGCAGAATCATGACGGCATGCTTATCTTTGGCGATACCAGATATAAGAAAATGATGTTCCTGAAACGGATGTGCAGACACACACTGACGCTTACCACGGTGCAGTTGTGCACAGCTGCTTTCATCTGATTGAACTGGTCGTGTGTCTGAAGACTCTCAGGCATGTGTTCAGAATCCTGGCCAGCATTACTCAGAATGAATTACAGTCAGCAGCCACCTATGTGATAGATTATTAATATTCATTTTCATTTCAAATCATTTCTCCCGGCTTCACATATAAGGGCTGAGATCCACTGTGGTTAGCAGAGTGGAGGAAGCAAATAACCAGTGTGTCAAATTGATGTACTGCCTGTAGTAAGCACACAGTCTCCACCACAACTGTGAGAGCCCAGCCTTGGATGCCTACCAGACAATTATGAAGCATCTATTACTAAACCATGAGAGAGGAAAACGTACTACCACTGCTTTCAAATTTGTAACGATGACCAAAAAAAAAAATATGATACAGCCACACTGGTGGATATTGACTTAAATATCCACAAAACAGCACTAACCACTTGCAGACAGCCTGTGGGACAGTCATATGGGCCGCTGGATTCAGCAAATGCAGATTAGTGGAAGTTTTTCTTCTCCTTCTCCTTCTTTATCTCTCTATAACCCAGAACTACTCAGCTCCTGAGATTAAGAATAGGCTGAGAACTCACTGATCCAGCAATCTGACTGCAAAGGTATGACCTCTCATTCAACTGCCTGATCTACACTGGGTTGGAACCATCAAAGGAACTGGTAACCAAGACCTTCATTTCAGTTCAAAGATACAGTAAGATGGCCAAAAGCAAAACAAGCAAAGGAAAACCAATTACAATGACAGCATAAGAATATCTTTCAGACCTCAAGATATTGCCAACTGCAGTTGAAAATGAAAATTTGTCTCTCGCAGGGGTGCCTGGGTGGCTCAGTCAGTTAAGCGTCTGACTTCAGCTCAGGTCATGATCTCATGGTTTGTGGGTTGGAGCCCTGTGTCTGGCTCTGTGCTCACAGCTCAGAGACCTGGAGCCTGCTTCGGATTCTGTGTCTCCCTCTCCCTCTCTGCTGCTCCCCCACTCACTCACACGCTCTTTCTCTCAAAAATAAATAAACATTTAAAAAAATTGAAATTTGGCTCTCCCATTAGCCATGTAAGTGTCTGTCCCAAATCAAAAGCAAAGTACGGCATTCTATACCAAGTTTCAGTTTCTTCTCTAAATGATAGTAAAATCAACGATCTATCTGGAAAACCAACATGATAAATATAACTGTTGCTGAAGGACAGCCACCAAGTGGTTGGTGCATCTACCAGCGAGGGAAAATGCAACATATTTGAGACACCCATTTCAGAACACTCTTAAACCTCATTGATTTCAGTTGTTTGGAGGAGGCACTCTGGCAAAGAATAGTTGCCTCTGGGTACATATTACACAGTGAAATAGAAAGAGACAGTACCTGCCAAAAGAATTTATAATCCTCTGGAAGAAGATAAACATCCCATACCCGCACCTTATTAGTATGCATAAAGTATACAATCTAATTGTGTAAAAAGGATTTCACATTCTTGGGACTGATGTTCAACTGAGTATGCATCAGTGAGCACATATAGGGGAACCTGGCTATTCAAAAGAAAAATTTTTTTGTAACTTTCTACTAAAATCCATGGTTTACAAACAATCAGCAGGAAAGGCACTACATGCCAGTGATTGAGTGAATATTCTAGCTTATCTTGACCTCAGGTGCCAGAGTACACCCAAGGATAAGCCATAATCCTTGAGAAATGTGCTGATAGCCGGCTCACATTGCTTAAAAATGGAATGCCCTCAAGGAAGTATCTCTGGTGCATATCCTGGGTCCAAACACATGATGCTTCAGAATCTCCTATGCATGAGCTCCTCTCCCTTTGGTTTCAGAGAGAATGTGTGGTGCAGAGTTCTGAAATATTCTTTGGGAATCCAGTGTGTGGTACCATTAAAATATCACAGAGAAATAAGCAAACTCAGGGAGAACAAGTAGTTCTAATAAATTATCAGTGGTACAGAGTTGGAGTAGTTCATGGAGATACCAGAGAATACACGTCAGTGCACAATTCGGGGGTCACTCTTTCCAAGGAATTGGGAGCGTTGTTCACAAATCACAGTGTAAATGCTGCTTGAGGGACAGAATGGTGGAAACCCCAGGCCCTTTACCCAAGCTCCATTTTATCTGTTTTACAGAGAGCTTTCAGGTAAGATTTCGTGAAAGTTTGAGAACACTGGCCTAGGTTACTTCGACAGAAATCAAATTGCCCTAAAAACCTGTGTTTCCTCTGAGCACAGGGGTGAGTCAGGTGATTAAGCATCAGACTCTTGGTTTCTGTGCAGGTCATGATCTCAGGATGGTGAAATCGAGCTCCCTATTGGGTTCCACGCTGGATGTGGAGTAGAGCCTGCTTGAGATTCTCTCTCTCCCTCTCTCGCCTCCCCCACTTGTACACATTCTCTCTTTCTAAAATTAAACACAAAAAATCTTTAAAAAATGTGTTTCCTCTACTTGTGGATGTTCCTACTTGTTCAGGAAAAGACACAAAGGAAAGACTTATATTGTGCACAGATACAATTCACACACCATGGTAAGGGCTGAATACTGTAATGTGTGTAATTGCAACTAACCATCCCATCCCAACTAACAACACGATGCTGTGGTTGCTAGTATCCCCAGTAGCCAAATGTCAGCAAAAACTGAGATCCAGAGAGGTGAAGGGGCTCCCTGAGAAAGAGCAAGCTAGGAAGTAGAAGAGCTTACATAGGAAGGACCCTAAAGTGAAGATTTGTTTCCTTGCAACTACCTCTTGCTTTCTAAGATGCAGGACTCATGACAGCAAGGAGCTCCCTCAGAGCACTGCACAATGACGTACTGCTGAGATTGAAATGCTATCATTTGTAGGGCATCTGGGTACCTCAGTGGGTTAAACACTTGACTCTTGATTTCAGCTCAAGTCATGATCTCATGGTTCATGAGTTTGAGCCCCGTGTGGGGCTCTGTGCTGACAACGAGGAGCCTGTTTGGGATTCTCTCTTACTTACTCTGCCCCTCCCTGGCTCATGAGAACATGAGCTCTCGAAATAAATAAATAAACATTTTTAAAATACAATAATGAAATAAAACGTTATCATTTAGAGTTAAATTATATACTGTCTTGTTTCAAATTCTACTACAAACAACAACAGAAGCCAAAGATTTGACACCCTTCTCCCCATTAACTTGTCTTTCAAAAGATCGTTGATGGGGCACCTGGGTGGCTCAGCCGGTTAAGCCTCCGACTTTGGCTCAGGTCATGATCTCACGGTTTGTGGGTTCAAGCCCCGCGTCGGGCTCTGTGCTGACAGCTAGCTCAGAGCCTGGAGGCTGTTTCGGATTCTGTGTCTCCCTCTCTCTCTGACGCTCCCCTGCTCACGCTGCCTCTCTCTCAAAAATAAATAAAACATTAAAAAAAAGAAGACCATTGAATAGACTGTTCACCATGACTGTTTTATTTCAGCACGAGAACGCTCTTATTCAGGAGAATAACTGGGAGAATTTCAGATGAATCTGCAGGCAGCCTCAGTGCAGTTTCTTCCCCAGAGCTGCACAAAGCTGCCATTTCCTCGTTCTACCAGCTGGGCTTTCCTTCCTCTACACAAACCTTCAATTCTACAACACTGCCTCACTGTAGAGGGGCAAGTGCAAGGCCCAGAGAGCGGAAGGGTGTGTGTCTTTTTCCATTTTAAGTGCGGGCTCCTCAGTAACATAGTAGAGGTTCCACGCTCAGAATTTTTCACACAGTAATTTTTTGACATCACTGCTTTCCTCTTTTGTGTTTGAGATGATTCTGAATCTACTCTATGCAATTTTCCCACTCCCCCTTCACCCCGCAATCACGATGGTGCCTTCAAGTGTTGTTAAAAGTAGGGACAAAGTACAAGAACCACTTGACCCACATTCAAGAGGCACCTTTTGAATATAAAAAGTCTGCAGTTGTACCAAGTTTTAAAGGCCTTTACCCTACTTCTTGCTGCCATCTCTCGTCCTTGTTCACTGCCATCCACTGGGGTCAAGTCCTCAACTCCGCGACTGAGAAGCAAGAAAGAACAAGGAAGAACAAAATGAAAATACACTGGGACAAAAGAGGAAAAAGAGAAAAGAAGTGTGGTGTGTAAGGTTGTATGATGGCCCCCTTTGTGCATAGTAGAGCAAAACCTTGGTTTGCGAGCATAATTCATTCCAGAAACATGCCTGTAATCCAAAGCACTTGTACATCAAAGCAAATTTTCCCATAAGATAAAATGGAAACTCAGATGATTCGTTCCACCACCCAAAAGTATTTATGTAAAAATGATTATAATACTGTTATATAATACAAAATAATAAAGAGAATACAAAATAGAAAGAAAAATCAATTAACCTGCATTCACCATTGTAAACTTTTGTGGCTGGTGTGAAGGAGATGAGAGAGGAGGGCTATTGTGGAGGACGACTTTCACTATCATTAACAGATGTTGACTACAGTACAGTATTAGTAAACTCTTGTCATATACTGTATTTCATGTAACTGGTAATAAGGCAGCAGAGGGAAGGGTCTCAATCTTTAGACAGCCTGACCTAGAATGAAACAAAGCATTCCAAAGCTCACTCTTATATGGAAAAGCAAAGGACTGTCCATAAGTGCTTTGAAGTGACAAAAAATGCACTAGTGTCAATTGTAGGCATCTTCCAACGTTCTGAAAAATCACTGATTTCTGTCAAACACTGCGGCTTGAGACCCACCATCTGAGCATGGGAGTCTATCACTCACAATGACGCGCACACGCTCATGAGACAACCATTGGTTCAGTTGTGATCATGTGACACTCGGCACCACGTACTACTCATGTTGTATGACATTGCTCATTTATCAAGTTAAAATTTATTAGAAATGTTTGCTTGTCTTGCAGAACATTTACAGAACAAGTGACTCTGCAATCCAAGGTTTCGCTGTATTTAAAGTGGAGAGAAAGCGAGAGAAGCATCAGCAGTACCGAGTATTTGGATGCAGCTATTCGGTTGCTATCAAGGTGAGTAAATGCATCCAGCATACCAGCAAATGCACACATATGGCAAGAACCATTGAGGGGAATTAGAATTTGGAGAATACCTACCCTATGCCAAGCCCTAGATATAACTATCAAATCTGTCTCAATAACTCAGTACACGGTTATAAAACTAAGAAACATTTTCTCTAGCACTCAAGGATCTCAATATCCTGAGAATCTAATGAGCCTCTTGTCTGACCCATTTATTTCTTTTCCAACCCTCTAGCCGCCGGACAGCGGGTTGGACTCACCCAAGTGAGGTCTCAAATTACAGTGGATTCTGATGATCACTTTCCCTCATTTCTCCTACTTTCATAAGTAAGCGAGGTGACTCTACAGAGCCATTTTTAAAAAATAAATTGGCATACTTAACTACACAGCTGACCCAGATTGTTACTCACCCCCTGGTCACCCTGACTCATGAAACTGATCTATTGTAGGCATGTAAAAGTCGCCATATACTACTGTGACATTCTTAAATGGTACAAACTCGCGCTATAAAGGCCCATCTAGCAATAAAGGCCATCTTCAGCTAAAAGGTTAATTCTCTTATCAGCTGAAAAGTCTGCCCTCTTGGGCATATCTCAAAGCTGAGAACTTATTACAGAAGGCACCATCTCATTGGGTATACAGAGCAAATAACCCTTTTAAGAATGTAGAATGAAGAATGCCTATTCAAACAGAGTCAAAGCAGGTGAACAAGGTAAGGGAAGGAGGCAGTCAAGTATGAGGCTGCTGGGGGATATAATTTATGGCAGTTTGATAATTTGGGCATGTCCAGTGTTAAGAGAGCAGTTTGCCTGGCACCAGGGAGGGGCTAACAAAAGCACCCAGCGAGGAGACCTCCATGTAAGGATGCCAAAAATCCACCTCAGTGAACTGAGGGGATGATGGCAAAGGGGATCTGCAGCGTTGGCCAGCCTGCCCACCATGCTGTCACAAAGGCCAGGCTCGAGGCAGCTAAGAAAGGGCTTAATTATCCAGCCATTCCTCATTTGAGTTGGAGGGAGCCAGCAGGAGGAGCAGGCTGGACCACCAATTATGTTAGTCAGGAGGTTATTTAGTCTAAGATCAGAAATAGAGGTGAGGCAGAGCCAGCGGGGGGCAAAGCATCAAAGGTCCTCTTGACCATCAGGGGGTTCCCCTTCCCACTGTGGGCCAGGCCATTCCCATGACCTAATGCTTCAGTAGGTCTTCATTTCTGGCACGACCGAAATTCTGACCTTCTGTCTCAGAAAAGGATGTCATAACCCAGGATGCCAGGCGAACTTTAATCAGTGATAATTTTAAATACATTTTACTGCATAGTGAATTGGAATGCCAAATGCTATTTTATAACAACACTTGTTTTAAGAACACGTCACTGTAACAAAAGCATATTTCTCTGACGTCTGCGATCATTAGAGCTCACAGAATGAACGTCAATGGCAGAATCATTCAACAAGACACTTAAGGCTGGAAATACTCGTCCTGGCACCTCCTTCAGTGACGATTCCAGAGAAATCCTTCTCCGTCCTCTGAAAATATCCTTGACCCTTGACAAAAAGGCCTGAATAACTAACTATATTAGCACTACACTATGCCCTAAGTCATGAAATCACAGTGGAGAAATGGGTAGAGAACAGGGTTTAAGAGAATTTTAGCCACTCAACTATTTAGAGGGTCTTCTTTTTACCATACTATTAAAAGCGGACACACATCCAGTGGGCTAAATACCCTAAACCTGAAACACATAAACTCTCCCTGAAATACACAAACTCTCCCTAACATGTGTAAATTCCAAACGTGAATTATATGAACAACCCTAGCCAAAACCAAACCTTATATTCTCATTTGCCTTTTGGTTGCAAGATATATTCATACTCACCAACAAGATTTCCTAAGATATTTTAATCTCCTACCGCTGGCCATAAATAAGGAGAAAAGTAACAATCTATTTGATATTATATATCTTTTTAATAATTTATTCTATAAACACTTATTTTATTCTATTCCGGAAACATTTGGATTTAATTGGCAAAGATTGATGTGTGTGATAGAATTTAATAGTTACAAAAGTATGCTGTGTTTTATTAAGACTAGGCTTAATCTTAATAAATACAATTAATCATTTAAAATTAATAACTGTGATCATTATTGATAATGCTTTCCATTTTTCATATCTTCGAGGTAGCCAATGTCATGAATCTTGCTATTGTAGTAATATATTCTGTTTTAAAGCATCCCCTAAAATACACATGTATACATTGCTTTCTTTACTGTGAATTTTTTTCTTTTTCTTCCAGTTTTGAATACATTTTGGGTTCCGTGTTGATGGAGGAAGGAAATATCCAGGTTGTTTCACTGATGCTTACTGGTGGAAAAGGATATGAATAAGAAATAACTCCAGTAATTTTACCCCTCCATTAAAACCCATCACTTTGGCACTTCTGAGGTTGTGAGTCGGGGGTCTGTCCCCTGCATCACAGTTGCCTCCTTTCCAAATGGACGACAAGCAGGTATAAAATGCTGTCTGACCCGGGACAATAGCTCAGAATAGTACATGCCACTTGGTGGATTAAAAATTTATAAGATATTTTTCCATCTCTGCTTGGAATACAACTGAATATATTCTTGTCTCGTGGAAAGGGATTTCTTAGTCAGAGCTGAAGAGATGTGTAACACCTTAAATTCTGTGGGGTTTGCCTTCCTAATTATATTACACAAGAAATAAACCAAACAACCAGAGCACCTGGCAGTAGAGTCCCATTCCACATACCCCCCCCCCACATACAAATAATCACTCTTTACATATAAATCTCAGAAGGTGGGAATAGTACAGCTTGAACACACACACACACACACACACACACACACACACACCTGTACCATGTCAATATAACATTTTTCATTAAAGATTTCATTCCACATCACACCATGTATGTAAAACCTAACAGCTGTCTTGTGTTTCCAAATGTCACATTCATGTTTTCCCTTTGGTACCAGCGAGGGGCTAACAAAAGCACCTAAGGAGGAGACCTCCAAGTAAAGATGCTAAAAATCCACCCTGGGAAACTAAGGGGTTTTCTGCCAGCCATGTGGCAGCACGCTGATAGAAGTGTGGCAGGGCAGTGGGTGGGGGAAGTTGGTACATGCACACAGGGTTGCATCGAAAATCTGGAGACCGTCTTTTGCCCCCTAAGTTACCTAGACAGGAAACCTTTTGTTATGGGTAGCCATGTAACTTTGTTTAAACACATCAGCAGAGAAAACTGATTTTCTCCCTTAAGGCAAGGGTTGAAGGTAATCTACAAATATGTGTCATCTTTTGAAACATGGTATTAATTTGTTGTGATCTCTCATAGAGCTGATTATCCACATTCCTTCTAATGAGACATGACCCTCCCTGCAGGCCCTTTTCTTTCTTGCTTTGTCCTGGATTGCTGCAGTTACCAGGATACAATACAACAGCATCACAATTTCTGTGATTAGAAATAATTCTGGGTATGAGTAGATTCAGAGATGACCGAAAGCATTATAATGCCTCAGCAATGTTGGGCTCAAAGATTTTTATTAAAAATAAGCTACTATTTTTGAATAAAATAAAAGTGTTATTCACCCTACCCACAAACCAGAGAAAGTTTTTTCAAGGCATTAGTAGAAGGATACAGGCAGAGAGCAGAAAGGAAAGATGTTTAAGATGAAATAAAAATTGAATTCCTATAATCATGTAGCAAGAATGAAACTTAAGCCCCAGGTTCTCAGAGATCCAAGGGAACGGCTGAGAGTTTCCAGGTGAAATCCCAACTGAGAAGATAATTCAGCTAGCCATCGTAACCATCTGGGGTGATGAATGTAAAAATGCCCAACAAAAGGTAACTATCAGAAGTCAAGAATTTTTCCTTACAACTACTTTTTTTTAAACGATTATTTATTTATGCACGTGCAAGAGAGAAAGAGCCAAAGTCACACCCTTAACTGACTGAGTCATCCAGGTGTCCCAAGGTGTTTTACATTCTGTTTTTATGCTGTTGTTCTAAGGTCTCAAAGTCCAGTATGCATTTTACACTTGCAGCACATCTCACTTTGGCCTAGCCGTATTTCAAGAGCTCGAGAGTCACCTACAGCTGTAGGCTATAGTGCTGGACAGTGCAGGAACACAGCAAATGTGATGAAAAGAAGACAACAAAGAATTCATTAAGTGGTAGCAAACGGTTTCTCTTTTGATATGTACATATATATATCCGAATCAATGAACAGTGTAAGCTCCAAGAATATAAACAGGTAAAACAGTTTAAAAAGTCAAAATTCACCCACCTTACGTTAGAATAATGTAAGTGACTCTGCCAAAGGAAGGGAGAGAAAAATCACCCAGTCTTTAAAGGAACAGAAACAGTCACAAAACACATGGTCTGTAGATTTGGTTACGGGGAATATCAAAACATTTTTCATATCGGAACTCAAAAGACAACTGGCAAAAACAAATATTTGCCACAAATATAACCAACAAGGTTTTAATAATTCTGTGGAGTGCATGTAAATCAAGGGGCAAACCGGTAAGAACCCCAACAGATTAATGGACAAGAAAAGGAATAGAGAATTTAGAAAAGAAAATAATCAAATAGTGAGCAAACAAATGGGGGAAGGGGCCCACCTCACTAGTAATCCCAGAAAGGCAAATTTAAACAAGAAGATGGTTTAACGCTCTCTCCTTCCTCCGACACCCAACATTTGTGTCTTCTAGCTGTTCTCATCTCTGATACAACCTTTTTTTTTTTTTTTTTTTACAAATAGTTTATTTTCAAATTAGTTTCCACATAACACTCAGTGCTCATCCCCACAAGTGTCCTCCTCCATGCCCATCCCCCCCCTCCCCCCACATCCATCAGTCCTCAGTTTTTGTCAGCATTCAAGAGTCTCTCATGGTTTGCCTCTCTCCCTTTCCCCCACCATTTCCACCCTTCTTCTCCCCCTTGCTCCTCCGTCAAGTTCCTCCTAATCCTCCTATACATGCAAACATATGATATTTGTCCTGTGAAGAAATGGGCAGAAGACATGAACAGACACTTCTCCAAAGAGGACATCCAAATGGCCAACAGACACATGAAACGATGCTCAGCATCCCTCCTCATCAGGGAAATACAAATCAAAACCACACTGTGATACAACCTTTGAGGATACAGCTATGATTAGCAAATGCTATGACATGGTATCTTCTACCATTTTAAAGAACTCTGGATGTAAGTAGAGTAGAAAATGACTAAAAATCATTATAATAGCTGACTTCTTTCATGTTCAAAGAATTTGAGACAGAGAGAGAGGCACAAAGAATCATGGCATACCTGAGTGCATAGGACCTCAGACATCTAAAACACAGTGAAGGTGGGTGCCTGGGTGGCTCAGTAGGTTAAATATCTGACTTCAGTTCAGGTCATGATCTCATGGTTCACGAGTTTGAGACTCATGTGGGGCTCTGTGCTGACAGCCTGGAGTCTGCTTCAGATTTTCTTTCTCCCTCTCTCTGCCCCTCCCCTGCTCCTGCTCTCTCTCTCTCTCTAAGAATAAATAAAAACATTTTAAAAATAAAATAAAACACTGTGAAGGAATGGAAATGAAGCTTTACATTAAGGAAAGTTACTTTTGTTTTTCAAACTCTCACAACCTCAGGTATCATAGGTGTTCTCAATTGTTCATCTGCTGCAATGACATAGAGTAAAAGTAATGAAAATAGTAATCACCAAAAAAGATAAATTTTAACATCCATGTTTGTTGCAGTACAGGAAATGCATTGGTTAAGAGGTTAAGACTCAGCCTACCCAAATTGTAATGAATGTAACAAATGCGAATATAGTATCTACTAAGTGCCGATGCTATTCCAATAAAATCCTGACAATAGGCATTATTAATATACCCATTTTATAAACCAATGGGTCATCTTACAGATATAGAGCTAAGTAACTTTTTTGGGAACACACTGTTAGTAAGAGTATGCATTAATTACTATCCCACCCATAGGAGACATAAGCACATTCTTAAAAGCAGGCTGAATTTCAGCTAATTAAATATTTAATGAATGCCTATTATGTTAGCATATTGGTTTTAAAGAGGTCCAATTTATGACACAGTTGAGTGTCCTTTCATCTGCTGAAGTAACACTTATGATACTGTAGTAAGGAATACCTTACATGTACTAAGGTATAAAGTGCATTAAAATAACTTTATAAGATTTAGAACAGCTTGATTACACATATGTTTTTAGAGTTTTATGGTTGTCCTATCTTCCCTTCAAGGGTTCTGGTGACTTATAACAACAATCCATCTTTAGTCAGAAACACAGGCTCCCTCACTGGTATCGCTGGAAAAATCCATGTTATTTTCTTTTCTCCCACAGCTCCAGGAAAGAGAAGTAGAAAACACCATTTTGGAAGTGGATATGACATGGAGAATGTTCCACAAAACAAAAAGGGAGATGCAAAACCTGTTCTTTCTATCCCCTTTGGATGGAGAGATGGGGGGAAAGAAGACAACACCATCCTCAATACATACTCTTGAGGGCTAAGTCATGGAGAAGAAATTATGATAATTAGGCTGAAGGGAAAACTCAAAGCAGAGTGGAGCTGTGGTCACATTCTTATTTGTGTTCAAAAGAGTGCATACACCCTCACACACCCAACCCCATCTGTTCCTTTAGCTTGGAGGTGACAGGACAGTGCATTTAGCAAGGGGAAGTATCTGGGTTGGGCTCTCTGGCCACCCTGGGCTCCTTTGTAGAACGGAAGGGCCTGGACTCTTTCCCATACCATGGGCTTGCAGAGAGAAGTCAAGGCTGGTCCATCTCGGGAGGTCATCTCGTTATTTGTCGTGATTGGCTGAAACAACTGTGTGGTTCAGGGCTGCAGAGCAGGTCACCCCAGCCTGAGGGCTGATCAGAGACATAGCCAGAGCTCAGGCACTGGGCCAGAGCCAGTAAGGACTAAGTCAGTGCCTCACCCAGCCAAAAGACTCGATCACGAATTCACCAGTCATAGACATGAGGATGAAATGGCAACACCAAGCAGACAAGGATGACCTCAGAAACCAGAGGCCCAGGGGAAAGGATAAAGCCCCACAGTGGGTCTCAAGCCACCTTCTTGCCACTTCAAAGATGTCCAAATCCCCACCCCATCACTAATTACCTACACTCCATCCTGGAGACAAAACTGGAAGATGGAGAAAGTAAATTTATTAGCATTTATCTGAGAGAGAATGAGGCAAAAGTGGTTTAATTTTTGGAGGAGAACTAAAATTTGTGTGTTGGATTAAAGGTTACTTCTTTTTTCTGCATTCAGCAGGTCAGGGCTCAGGAAGATGAAGAAATTTATAGGAAAAAAAAAAGTGACTTTTTTTTGCATTAGTATCTGAATGTGTTGTGTACCTTTATTGCTTGACTTCAATATGGCATAAATCTGTTTTCCAGAGACCTGCATTATGATGGACTTTCTTCCAAAATATTGTCATATTGTGGCAGACAGAGAGAGAGAGAGAGAGACAGGAAGAGAGAGACTCTGCTTTGGAATTAGTTCCTTTGTAGAAAAATCTGCCATTAATAAAAGCATTACTTATCCCTCATTGCAAACTAAGCACTATTCTAAATAGCTTCCAGTATGAACTCATGAATCCTCAGGATCATACTATGAGGGGCAGTTTTTTATCATTCCCATTTCACAGATTCAAAAAGTGAGGCCTGGAAA